AACTTTCTCAATTAGCAAATAGGTAAAGGATTCACATTCACATACATAATCATAGTTCACTTGCAAAAATTACAAAAGAAATAATGTTAAAGGTTTTCCAAACAAGAAAGAAACTAAAGTCCTAAACTAGTCCTAAATATGCCTCGATGTCACATATCTTATCAGAGCACTCCCAATTGAAGCCTAAGCCTCATCACCAACATCCTCATGTTGATGATCACCTACAACACAATAAAAATACACATAGAGCAAACAAGGGAGTGAGAAACATCTCACTCAGTTTCAGGTGTAAAAATAACAATTAGGCAACACACACACAAATCATAACAAGCACATCCATAACAACAGATTAATCAAGTGCAAATTCAAATTATACATACAACAGTAACACATGCATGCACAATCATTCATCATGCAATGATTTCATGGACTCGACTCATAAATGCATGCATGTGGCACTAGTCACATATCACATATTACTGGTGTGCTGCCTAAACAACACACCTAAGGTAGTCTAGGAGTACATGTAGGGTGCTACCCATACACTCTCAACTAGAAGGATGTACTGCTAGGGTCTGGTAGGGATAGCGAAGTGGTGCAAGTTACATCTCATGCTCACAAACAGGAGAAATCGAGACATCCAAATTGCACTATCCCTTAGGACTCCCCCAAGCTGTTACACAAGGAGGGACTTCCCTAACGGTGTACTCCACATCGTACCCATCACATAGATGCACATGATGCATGTCACACACTCACACTTCATTGGCTCATCATTTCACTTGTCATAGTTTCTCATATATCATGTCTCATTGTCACATATCATCATGTCTCATGTCTCACATTCACTTTTCACATTGTCTCATATATTCACAGTCTCATACAAGGAACTTCTCATAGGCATATACATCAGAATAACACATAAATCATACCAAGAAATTATCCAATATCATATGCATTCAATTCGCATATCCCTAATTTCACTTGATAGGGTTTCTCATAGAAACCCACAGAGCACTCTAATTCATATCAGAACTTATCTATTTTCAAAATCAAACACATATTCACACTCAACATCACACAAGGAACGCAACATAACATTCAGAAAGCAAAACAGAAAACTTTCATATTTTGCCTGTTCTTAGAAGCATGCATTAGGCAAGGGATTGGGGGCCAATCCTGCTACCCAATAATTATTCCCACACCCCCGAGCGAGGTTTCTCACTCCCCCTTACCTGGATAAGCAGAAGATGAAGTTAGAGCAGAATCTGGTTGATCTCCTTCTCTTGGTTCTCCTTAGTCTTCAGAGAGCGTGTCACGGTGCAATGCCAAAGTATGTTATTTATAGATGTCAGCAATGGCCAGAACAACCCGTTTCAAATCCAGAACGACCCGTTCTTAAACCAGAACGACCCGTTCTGGAGTTGAGTTTTAACTCATAACGACGATGTTTGGAACGGCCCGTTCCCAAAGTGGAACGACCCGTTCTAGGTTCGAATTTTACTCATAATAGCCTATGTTGGAAACACCCGTTCTAATCTAGGGTTTATAGGCCTTTTTAGTAGTTTGGAACGACCTATTCCAGTTTGGGAACGGCCCGTTCTAGGCTACTAAATCACCATTATTGGGCTTTGAGCCTTCATATAATTTGTGAAAATCGGGGTGTTACAAAGTTGAAAGTTGAATCATGTAGTATGTTGCGAAGTTATATAGCTATGTTAGAATTATATATGAATAATGTTGATGTGTTGTTGAGTGTCATGTTGATCATAGTGTTGTAAATGAGTTGTGATAATGGTGATATGAGTTGAAAAGTTGTGTGTTGATTAAGTTGTTATGTTAAAAATTATAATGAGTTGTTGTGTTGTTGAGCTGTGTTGACCACTTAGGACTAGAGGAGATATTTTTGAAAGTTTCATATGTCGTTGTGTGAATATTGTGTTATGGTGCTCCAAGGGTCCAATTTGTTGAAAAACCCTTCTTGGGAAGTTGACCTTGAAGTGGATACTGTGTTGTTTTTCCTTTAAGACTTTGTTGGTACCATGTGTGGGCAAAGTCGAGACACACGTGTATGAAGCGACCATAGTATAGTGGCCAAGTCGAGCTATACTAATTACAAGTGACCAATCAAGTAAAGTACGAAGTTGGGAACTTAGTTCTTAACTGAGCATCGAAAGGTTGTGGTATTTGGAAGATAGTTGATAGGCTAATCTCATAGGAGGCTTAGTTAAGCTAGTTAATGTCGTGATAGGCCTGTACCCAACTATTTTATCCTAACATTAGTACTATACTTCCTTATTTAAGGGGAGACATCTAAGAAACTGAGTTGTTGTGTTGTGGATTATATCCAATTTGTTATTGATCTAGCAAGCCTGAAAGGATCACCTTGTGTTGTTGGTTTGGTAGGATCAAACTACTTAAACTGCTCACCTTATGTTATAGAAGATCTTCTAGTTGAAATGTGTGATGACACATATAGTTGTTGTGTTGAACATATGATGTGTTAAGATGATTGCGTTGTGCATATGCTACATTGAACTACGATGAAATGTGTTATTGTGTTGATTCAAAGTTGGATCATGTTGATTTGTGTTGTATGTTATGATGCTTTGTTGTTGTGTTGTCAAAAAATGAGATGATGATGTGATGTTCTTATGTTGTGTGTATATATATATATATATATATATATATATATATATTATATATATATATATATATATATATATATATATATTTATTTATTTTTTTCCTAGCTTATTCTTGAGTGTTTCCATGTGGTTTGGACTGTGATGTTCATACATGATATGAGAGTAGGATAGGGATAAGGCTGGAGTGTTGCAGTAGATGTCATATAATGGCGTTGGAGCTGGATGTTTTGATAACTACCTACTGGCGGTAGATTTGTGTAGATAGTTATAGTTGTTTGACTGACAACTTAGTTGTATATTTATATATGTAGAATTACTGTATGTATATTACACATATTGGAGTAGACGTTTCACTTTATATGCATGCAATATTGTATCTACTTTAGTATTTGTAAGTATGTGATCTTAAGTTAGTAGTTATGTCGTTTAGTGTAGGTACCATGATAGGTCGTTACATAAATTAAAAATATAATTTTTATGAATAATTAAATTAAAAATATATTTTAGAAACTTTTAATGATGATTATTTAATGATGTTAAGTAAAATACTCTAAATTAATATAATGAAAAAATAATAATATAGTACTTATATCTCTAGGGAGAAAAGTGTAATTTACATTAACAATATTAAGTTAAATAGATTAAATCATATATTTTAACATAAAAGGGAAAGGTAGTATAATACTCTTAATTCTCAAGCAAGAGTAATCTAATTTACTCTTATACATATGTGTTTTGCTTAGAGAAAAAAAAAAAGACTTACCCATTTTCACCATAATGAATCGACAATATAATACATGCATGTCTCAAAGATGGTAGTATAAAAAGGTATTGTAATAAAAATTGATGGTGATGTAAAAGATATTGCAATAAAAATTTATTGATAGTTCATAACACTTTTATAAAAAAAAATTAGAAATGAAGTTAAGTATTTTATATTTTTAAATTTATTATAGAAAGATAATGTATATTTTAAAATAAGAAAAGATGAAAATGTAATATTTAAAGTCGAGAAGAGTGTAATTCGCTTAATTTTATTGGAAAGGAGGAAAACAAGGAAAAACTCGCTTTTTCCTTTCTATTTATTTTTAATAAAAAGTAAATATAAAATAAAGTATATAATTAAATGAGTAAACTATTTATTCTTTTATGAGATAAAATTATTACATTACTCTTTCCTCTCTTCTTATATTAAAATATATTTTTTAGTTTATTTAATTTAATATCGTTAATGTAAATTACAGTCTTTTCTCTTAAGAATATAAATATTACGCTATTTACCTTCTATATGTTAAAATATGAAATAAATTACACTTTTATCTCTCAAAGATATAAAATATTATATTATCACTCTCATATTATATTAACTTAATATAGCTAAATAATATATCATTATAAGATTTTAAAAAATAATTTTAATTTAATTGTTCATAAAAATATATTTTTAATTTAATTATTCATTGAAAAAATACTTTTAATTAAAATATTTTATTTGATTGTCATTCATTCATTTAATTAAAAGGTTGTAAATTATATAATTAAATTTAAATTAATTATAAAATAATAAATAATAAAAATTATAAAATAGATTATATATGTATAATTTTATATACATGTAAATATATATATATATATATATATATATATATATAATATAATATAAATTAACATAAGAAGACAGAATAATGTAATATATATTTATATCTCTTTGAAGTGTAATTTACTCTAATTAAATATGAAAATAATATATTTAACTTGGTAAGTAGGGATAATTAAGAAATTTTCCTTACAATATAAAAGTATATATATAGCTAATTTTTTTATAGGAAAAAAATCGAATAATAAAAGGAAAGAACTTTATTCACTATTAAAATAAGAATTAAAAATTGCAACTCTCTTTTACATAAAACTATCATTAACAGTAAAAATTTATACAAACTTACTCTCTTTTTATTATAACTGTTGTGACTTGTGATAAGTCTATTAAATTCTCTCTTTTTTTTTATATATCTTTTCATTTAAATAAAATATACAGTGACACTACCCCCACTAATATATATAAACTGGTTTTAAACTTTTAACATGTAGGAAGTATTTTGTTGTCTCCATTGTACGGAGAAATTTAATGAATAAAAAATCACCTAATGCACATTAGATTATCAAAAAAAATCCAATTAATGCACATTAGATTGTCAAAACAAAGATCCAAAGTAAAATTCCTCGAATTTGTTACCTCGGGGTTGTTGTTGGTCCTGGTCCCATCATTCTCCTATTTCTGAATTTCTCTAACCAAAAAGATAATTAATAAATAAATAATTATAACACTACATTATATATTATATAATACAGTACACAACACATGCACTTTGCTTCACAATTTCACTGTTTTTCAACAGCAACATCATTCCTTTCACTCACTGGATGCCATGTCTCTCTCACGCCTCACCACCCCTCTCTGCTGCACTTCTTCAACTTCAGGTCCCCTTCTCTTTTGTTTCACAAGGGCCATGCAAGTTTTCACTTTTTGAATTGGATCATTTTTTTATATTTAATTTTCATTTCAAGAGCTTGGTGAAACTGCTACGTTGAACAAATATTGCATGTGTTTTGGAAGTTGCAGTGGCAAACTTACTGAAATGTGATTTTGGGTTTGTCAATTGATAGGGCCAGATTGGGGTGTTTGTTACTTGATTGGTTGATTCTTTAGTTATGTGATTCAATCTAAAGGGGCAAATGGTTGTAAGACATTGTTGGGTTAAACTGAAAGCGGAAAAATAAGTGAATTTCTGTGTTTTATGTGCGTATATGTAACTGAAAAGTTGAAGCTTTAAAGTGTATTAAGCATAATTTTTCTGAATAGTTCATCCCCTATGACAAAACATAAAGAATTTTATCTTTTGTAATATCTTACTGCTTTTAACAAGTTGCAGTATCTATTTGATGTTAGGAAATAGTAAATCCGAATTAGAAGTTTGACTTGATGTTGTTCCCCTCTTTTGTTTTATTTCAATGTTGGATCACTCTTGTTCTATGTGCATATGAAACCATGTACATCTCCTTATAATACTTCTAGGAAGGTCTAATAAGATTTCTTTTTTAACAGATTCTTTGATGACTGCATCAATTGTGAAGGAGAAAATGAACAGTACATCATTGGTATGACATGCATATGCTGATGTTATATCTATCTCTCTATTTTGTAAGCAATGTTTTGCAGTAGCGATTGCAGTTATAGTTTCATTGCAATCTTTGGTATTGCAAAAAATTGCGGTTGCAATTGCTGTCGTGATGTAGTCACAGAGACTTTAAAAACCTTGATATTCTTTAAACCTTGAGGAATAAACTGTTTTATTGCTTGTAGTGCCTTGAAGACTCAAAAGAAAGAATCAGGAAAATGTTCAACAAGGTTGAACTCTCTGTTTCTTCATATGATACAGCTTGGGTGGCAATGATTCCCTCTCCATCTTCTCCTCATGCACCATTTTTCCCTCAGTGCTTAAATTGGTTGTTGGATAATCAACTCCTAGACGGTTCCTGGGGTCTTCCTGATTGCCATCCATTACTGAGGAATGATGCTCTCTTATCTACCTTAGCATGCATCCTTGCATTAAAGCAATGGGGTGTTGGAGAAGATCAAATTAACAAGGGTACTTTACTCCTCCTAACTATTGCTTTCTCTGGTGTTGCATAAATGAAGTTTCTTGATATTCCTCCAGGTCTTCAGTTTATTGAGTCAAACATTACTTCAATCAATGATGAGAAGCAACACCCTCCCATAGGATTTGGTATACTTTTTCCTTCTATGATTGAATATGCACAAAATTTGGGCATTAACCTTCCAATTGGAGCTACAAGCTTGGAAACAATGATCCAAAAGAGAGAACTAGAGCTGCAAAGGTAGCATTTTAGCTTTATACTGTATGCATTTCAAGATTTTTCCTGTCTTTGAAATATTTATGAATTTTGGGGTCCTTTGGCCAACTTCTTGGTGCCAAGAATTTCGAAGTAGAGAGATCTTATTTTCCATTTTGCTTAAATTCCCTAAGCTGGCCTCTTTCTGATGCATCTCTTTAGAGGTAGTGAAAGCAACTCACAAGGGTGGAGAGAATATCTAGCATATGTTTCAGAAGGAATGCTGGAATCACAAGACTGGAAAACAGTCATGAAATATCAAAGAAAGAATGGATCTTTGTTTAATTCACCCGCTACAACAGCAGCTGTTTTTAAGCACCTTAAGAATGCTGAATGTCTTAATTACCTCCAATCCTTATTAGAGAAGTTTGGGAATGCAGGTATGTTTCCAGACTTATGTTTTTCTTAATTTAGTTTCACTGACTATTTTTTTGTAGATTAATTGGCCTCTCTTTTTTTTTTAAAAAAAAATTATCAGTTCCAACAATTTATCCTCTGGATATATATGTGCGTCTCTATATGATTGATAGTCTTGAAAGGTTGGGTATTAATCATCATTTCAAAGAGGAAATTCGAAGTGTATTGGATGAAACATACAGGTAATAACCCATTTGAGGTGCATGCACTTGTTTATGTAAAATATTAACATTATGTCAGTAACTGGAGAAGTAGGAAAGAAATTATAAAAGTGTGTGATGAAAATATAGATACCATTTTATTTATTGTATTCACCATCCTTCAATAGTAAGCTTGAAAACACTCAAACATTTATCAAAGCATATGAACTTTTCATTTTCATCCATTGAATCTCTCTGTATATATAATTTGTGGAAAAAAAAAAAAAAAACAGATATTGGATCCAAGGAGTGGAAGATATATTCTTAGACCCCACCACCTGTGCAATGGCTTTTCGAATGTTGCGTCTCAATGGCTATGATGTATCTTCAGGTTGGATCATTTGTAACGTTTTAGTAGTTCAGAATTTTTGCCTTTTAGATCAAGGCCAAAGAAGCTAATCTGTATATTGTATCTTTGCAGATCCATTTTATCAATATTCTGAAGATAAATTTGCCGACTCCTTGAAAGGGTACTTGAAGGATGCTGGTGCTGTTATAGAGTTATATAGGGCTTCACAAGCCATTATACATCCTGATGAATCAGTTTTGGTGAGACAAGGTTTGTGGACAAAACATCTTTTGAAGCAGGAATCCTCCCCTTACCAATTATATGCTGATAAACTTCGTCATTATGTTGACCTAGAGGTAGTTTCTTGTCTTAATCTTTCCAAAAATTAGTTACATATTTTTATACAATCTTATAATCCTTCCTGAAAACTGCAATATCTTTTTGTATTTTAGGTCAATGATCTTCTTAATTTTCCTTATCATGCAAATTTGGAACGATTGTTAAACCGGAGATCAATGGAGCATTATAATGTAGAAGAAACAAGAATTTTAAAAACATCATACAGGTGGGCGTTTGATAATTTGTTTCCCTTGTCTCAAGTTCCTTATTTTGTTCCCCTCTTTTTGAAATCAAATCCATGACTGTTGTATGGTTCAGATCTTGCAATCTTGCAAACCAAGAAATTCTAAAGCTAGCAGTAGAAGACTTCAATATCTGCCAATCAATACAAATCGAAGAGTTGAAACAGCTTTCAAGGTATATTTTGTTTTTTCTCTTTTTAAATTTTCAAATATATACATTAGGCTATAAATCCATTTAGAAAGATCATAATAATAGATGAAGGTATGGTAATGCAAACCACAGACAGTTTTAAGTGTATCTTCCTCATGCTTTCACTTTGGCCTGAAATCATTGAGGAATCTGGGTTCTTTTGTTCAAGCTACGGTTTATGCTTGGTTATGTAGAAACTTTCTTCAAACATGTATCATGAAGGTAGTATCCAACTCATTTTGATTTTTGACCGAGGAACATGCACTATGTTGAACTCAACTGTTTGAACAGATGAACTGGAGGTGAAAGAATTCTGGAATTGAACCAGAATTTGTAGGACCAAACACTAAGACAGGCCTATGCCTTAACAATGACTCTCCTCCTTCAAACTAACCACAGCAAATAAACTGTCAGACCTACATAAGAAACACCCATAAAATTGCCACACAACATATCATATTATTAATTCTTTTTAGTACAGAGCAGCCTAAGAACATTAGCTACTTGGAGTGCTATAAGAACATGAGCTGTAATAATAAGATCATTGTAGAACATATCATATTATTAATTCTTTTTAGTACAGAGCAGCCTAAGAACATTAGCTACTTGGAGTGCTATAAGAAAATGAGCTGTAACAATAAGATCATTGTCTAACTTCTCTTTAATGAAGTGTCTATTTATCTCAATGTGTTTGGTCCTGTCATGTTGAACTGGATTGTGAGCAATACTAATGGCTGACTCCTGACTTCTTGTCATGAAAAACTTCATAGGGATTTCAACTTTAATCCAGAGATCATCAAGAATAATCTTCATTCATAGTCCTTCACATATGCCCTGTGCCAAAGCTCAAAACTCAGCCTCAGCACTAGACCAAGCAGCCACATTCTGCTTCTTGCTCCTCCAAGTCACCAAATTTCCCCCTCAATAACACACAGTACCCAGAATTTGTAGGACAGAACATTAACATGGGCACAAGCCTTCCCAAGGAATCTCACTACTTCAAACAATTGACAAATTATCTCATAATGAATCAGAAAACTGTCACACCTACTTAAGAACACACCTAACTTCCATAAAGCACAACTCATAACTGTCCTATCTCAGATCCTCAAATTTGATCAAACTGTACTATACTATATCATACGCAGGTGGGTTGTTGAGAACAGACTAGACACGCTAAAATTTGCAAGGCAGAAACTGGCTTATTGTTACTTCTCCAGTGCAGCTACTCTTTTCTCCCCTGAACTTTCTGATGCTCGCATATCATGGGCAAAAAATGGGGTGCTCACGACAGTTGTTGATGATTTCTTTGATGTTGGGGCTTCTGAAGAGGAACAAGTGGACCTTATTCAACTAGTTGAGAAGTATATTCTTATTATTAATTGACACGGCCATCTGTTGATTTTTAACTGAATTCTATCACAATTTTCCTGCACAAACAGTGATGTTATGACATTTGAACTGCAGGTGGGATGTAGATATCAATACTGTTAGTTGTTCTGAGACAGTTAAGATAATATTTTCTGCAATTCACAACACAGTTTGTGAGATTGGAGAGAAATCAGTCAAGCGGCAAGGACGCAATGTGAAAAACAATGTTATCAAGATTGTGAGACATTTCTTCATGTTTCTGCCTGCATTTTCTACTAATGCTGTTTTGATTTTCCAATACAGTCAATTGTCACCAGTGTCATGTTTTGGGTAATATCAAAAGTGTAGCCCTGAAACATTTATGCACCAGTCCCTCAAATTAAAGAAAATTTCTAATGCTGAATATTTCCCATGCAAAACCTTAACACGACCTGTTATGCATATTAATGGAATACTAGTTTGACAACTTTAGATTTACTACAATGACTTGAAAATTTGCATAGGAGTTCTTCCAAATAAGATAATTTTCTTAACCAGTGGATTGAATTTTTCTACTTTTTACAGTGGTTGAATTTGATCCAGTCAATGTTTAAAGAATCTGAGTGGTTGAGAACCAAGACTTTGCCAACAATTGATGAGTATATGCAAAATGCATACATATCATTTGCCTTAGGTCCAATTGTTCTTCCAGCTCTCTATCTTGTTGGACCTAAGCTTTCAGATGAAGTTATTGAAAATCAGGAGTTGAACTATCTATATAAGCTCATGAGCACTTGCGGTCGTCTTCTTAATGATATTCACAGTTTTAAGGTATATACTATTACTATATAGTCCACATCCTTGCTTCCTTGATTCCCTTCCTGGTTTTAAGGTGACTAATGTTTTTGTCTCTTTGTAGAGAGAATTCGAGGAAGGGAAATTGAATGCACTGGCTTTGCGTATTGCTCAAGGAACTGGAGTTATTACTGCAGAAGATGCCACCAAAGAGATGATGGGTATTGCTGAGGAAAAGAGAATAGAACTCCTGAGATTAATTTTGCAGGAGAAAGAAAGTGTAGTTCCCAGAGAATGCAAGGATTTGTTTTGGAAAATGATAAAAGTGTTGCATCTGTTTTACATGAAGGATGATGGATTTACTGCACATGACATGTACTCTAGTGTAAATGCAGTAATTAAAGATCCTGTCATCCTTAATGAATTGTTAGTACATGCTCAGCAGAACCTTAGTCCTGTCAAAGCCACTAATGTTGTAATGCCCCAGTCTAATTAGAATTAGACATGACAAGCAAGACGTGCACTTGCTTTTGGATTCTATATAAATAAAATGGCCCAATCTTTCCTAAGTTTAACTGATTTGTTTTGTTTTGCTTTGTTTTTATCTCTTTTAATCTTGGTACTTTTCATGATGATCATTTTTTTGTCTTGGTGTCTTAGGATCCAATCCTTAACCATAAATGTTAAGGATGCATCCCTGTAACGTTTTCTGGTGGATGAGATGAGGTTAAAGAGATGTCATTGCTCATTTGCGCAATTACTTTGAGTATGGTCCCCTTTGTCTGCTGACCCGCATAGTCACTAAACTTGGGGTTGGCATTCAGCTAGGAAAGAAAGGGATAGGTGCTAACTAGAATTTGATAAGCTAAATTAGCAAACAATATATGCTAATCTAGCATATTTATTTGAACAGGGTGTGTTATAAACTTTTTTAGTAGCGAATTTGATTCTCATGAATAAAAACTTGAACGTGCAATGTAACACCAGACAGCAAAAGGATTTAGGAAATGCTTAACAAGTAATCATGGTTAGATTACTAAAATTGGCGGGGATGTGAAAGTAAACTAAACAAAATGAAAGCATTATAGTTTTTCCCTTATATAGTAAAGGATATTGCTAACAAGTTTCATAAGAGCATTTATTAAGAAATAAATAGAACTTTTTTATTAGAAATAATGGTAAAATTACATTATTAAAAATCATAATGGGATGTGATGGTAATACTTTAGAGTTTTTCTTCAAGGGAAATTGTTAACATTCTCCTATAATAAATACATTTAGAAGTCATAAAACAAAAAAATAAAAATAAATGATAAAAAATGAAAACTCTTTATTTGTATGATCTCTTCCAAACTCATGATAATATTTTGTCATTTAATATATTGTTTCCATGCTACATTAGAACTATATGTCAATGTCTTCTTGATACGAAACACACTAACGGTTCTGCGCCTCTTATTAAAAACTTCAATAATAACAAGAAACTGAAATCAATTTCATTTGTCACCAAAAGATAATAATGCGAGAGCTCATATTATTATTGCTTGTTGATAACAAGAAACTTCACCAAACTGAAATCAATTTTCAAGCATTATCATTGCTTGTTGCTTCAGTGTTATCAATAGAGAAACATAAATGCTAGAGCTCCACAAAGCCACTTCATTGTTAGTATCTATTTGCATAAGGCATTGTTTGTCTATTTAGGATATCTTTCCAATCGATGTTCAATTCCTTCTATGCATGCTAAATAAATAAAACTTGTGAAAGTGTTTAGCAGAAAACTTCTTAGGGAGATTACCATTTTACTAATAGGATTTCGTTTTGGCAGTTCATTATGTTTAAAGCATCATCTGTAGTATATCATACAAAGTTAAATCAGTACATAAACAATATGCTTAGAGCCAGCACAGAACAGTACTCACTTCAGTAAAGTACAGAAATTAGAAAATTGAAAAGATTACTTCATTGGTCAAACTTAAATAAAAATTACATGTTTATAAAATTCCAAAAGTCGTTTGCATAGTAAAGATTTAAAGCAATTACTCACTTATATCATTCATTTCCTTTAACAAACAGCAACTACATCCAGTTATCTTCATAATCTAATGTGGCTGTCAAGATCCTCATGAAGTCATGTTCCATGTTACTATGGTCTTAGGAACCTAGAGACCCATTTAAAAAAGTGTATCTAAAGGAAAGAAAGATTAACCAGTGTTATGGTCCTAGTATGAAGGTTCACGGGGTCAAAGATCGTAAGAGTCCATCGCCGGTAACTACAAAATTCAATTGACACAAGATGTCTTAATTTAATTGTAGAAAGTAATGTTAATATTGTTTGCAGATCCATATTGTACGTAGGAATACAAATTTTATTCCAGTAAGAGGGAAATGAAGAATAATGTTGCAAAGCTGCATAAAATCAAATTTCAGTTTAAGCTACAAAATTAACACAGCATTAGCAAAATTTGCAGTATCATTGGCCAACAATGTGAAACTTTTCTAAATTTCAGACAACTAAAAATTCTGAAAGCTGGAAGAAACAACATACATCACTTCATTCCATAACAACTTTGGCACCAAGGGCTTTCAATTTCTCTATTATCTGCTCCCCTTCTTCCTTTGAAACACCTTTCTTTATAACAGAAGGTGTTTTTTCCACTAAATCCTTTGCCTCCTTCAAACCTAAATCAGTAAAGCCCCGGACCTCCTTAATTATTTTAATTTTGGAAGCCGCTTCATAGGACTCGAGTTTCAATTCGAAGACAGTTTTTTCCGGCTTTTGCTCCTCCTTTGAAGCTGTTGGTGCTTTTGCTGCCATTCCAGCCAAATTTGCTGCAGCTCCTGCTTTCATAAATCCCACATTAGGCATCTCCTTCACCCCCATTTTCTTCATCAGAACAAGACCCAATTCTGCAGCTTCAGCTACCGTAAGTGACGCGATTTCATCAACAAGCCTGAAAACTCTCTCCGATGGAGGGCCTCGATGATTGTTGGGATCAAATGTAGCAGGATCAAAATCAGCTGGGAGACTTCTTTGGTCAATTTCCACTTCCTCTACATCCTCCTCCTCCTCTTTCCGAGCAGGTTGACCAAAACTTCTGGAAAATACATTTATGTTACTAGCACTAAGCCGTACTACTGTTGGATGAAGGGGTTGTCTATACAAACTATTGGGTAGATAATGCCTTATTCTCAAAAGCAAACTCATTCTTGGTTTGTAGCACTGCGATCTCTCAATGCCAAATCAGTCCAGCTTGACACACATTGTGAACTCCTAATCAATAATTAAACAACCTGAAAACAGAACAAAACAGAGCAGAGCATTTTTTTAAACATTATCATCCAAAGCTTGTTGAAATATTGTATATCTTATACATGGATGATGTCATGGATCAAACTTTCAACTAACAAGATTATCACAACCAGAAAAATCATATGCTAGGATCACAGAATAGAAAGAAAAGTGCAACAAGTGTTAACTGTTAAGAGTAAAAATTAAAAAGTAAACTACCAAGGATATGTTTGGATATACTTCTCCAAAAGCACTTAGACAAGAAAATTAGGAGGAAAAATATAGAGCTGTCAAAACAGGTCATCCAATCCACCACAGGTTGGCCAATAGATGGGTCAACCCAACCCGACTTACCTTATAGTGAACTTACAAAAAATGAGCTTAATCTGGTTCACCACAAGTTGATGGATTAAATAGGTTAGCTCACTTAATTTTAAAACATTAAAAGAAACCTTTTTTTTTTTTCTAATGTTCAGCCCTCCTACGGTTCCAGCCATAATCAATAAATAACTATTAATCATGTTATTTGATCTTGATAGAACTAGAAACTAATTTAACTATGCGAATTGGAACTGAAAACTAATTTCAGTAAATAACTAATTAATAAACTATGCAAAGTCGTACCCGTGGGTGTGGAACAGTGACGGCAGGAGGGTTGTGTGTGGAACAGGGGCGGTTGCACAAGAGCGGTGCTAGGTGGCTGTCACAAAGACATCGAGCCGGAAGAGACAACCCTAAGTCCCTAACACGGAAATGTCTAAGTGAATGATGTCATGTAACCCTCCGTCAGTTGCTGGACTTGGACTGTGGATTTTGATTTTTTTAATTTTTTTTTTACGTCAGTGGGCTGTGGGTTCATTTTTATTTTTTCTTGTGTTAGTGGATTGATGAGCTAGCCTGACTCACCACGAATTCAACCCGGGTGAGCCGGGTTTTTAGTGAACTAGGTTGAATTTTCTATGGTATTGAAATTTGCAAATTCTTTTGGACTTAACTCGGTGAGTCCAATTAGTTCATGGGTTGTAACCTGTTTTAACAGCTCTAAGAGAATGAAATAAATTTTCTTATAAACTAAAATTAGCGTATAATCTCAATTCTCAAGTCATGGACCCCAATGCCACGCATAATCTATGGATGATTTCATAGAAGTGAACAGTTCTTGAAAGTTGAAAGAAACATTTAGAAGCTACTCGAAGTTAATAGCTTAAAAATATTGTAAATATAAGAATAATGAGCATATAGAAAACACATGAAACCACAAATCACCCGACTAACAAATTCCTAAACATGTTTCATCATGCCCGCACAACCAAATCTTATTCAGCTTACAACAAAGAATACATTCCAAAAATAAGTTTTACCCTCCTTCCCCACCCTAAAAAGATGCACATTTATTAACACCACCAAGTTATGAAACTCCAAAATAAAACACAGAAAATAACACAATAATATAAAATACCAAAAATAAAAACCAACGGCCTTTGCCACTGACACAGAACATTAAACATCAAAAGCATCAAATCATCATTCCAAGAGAATCACTTGCAAAAGTCAGCTAAACCAAACCCAAGATGCAAGCAAACAAAAATTAAAGAGAATAAGTCCCTTCTTTTTTTTCTGCAATATACAACGTTTACAGGTAAAACAAACATCATTCACCCCTAAATCAAATACGAGAAAGAAAAAAAAGACATTTTGGCAAATACCCAAAATTATTTTCCCAAACTTAAGGATGCCCAGAAAGAAGAAAACATAAATCATTGAGCAGAACGAAGAATCGGAGAGACCCAATTGTTACCTTAGTCTTAATCTGAGGTCACAGTCGCTTAACAACACCAAAGGAAGAACCAAGAAAAACAGCAGCAATGGTAGTAACCAGTGAAAAGCCTCGTTCCAGTGTGGGTAGGTTTGCACTTCGCAGAAAATTTAAAAAAAAAAAATTAAAAATTAAAAAATTGGTGGCATTGGTAGGTCTGGGCTTGAATGCGCTTTCATTGGGCCGGCCCGTTAACGCTTATTAAGGGGTCTATTTTTTTTTCTTATGATATATACACCATTTTATGATAAGTACACCTTTTAAAAAAAAAATTTAATATATTTAATTTTTTATTTTTAGGTATCTAATTTTTAATTTAGTATTTTTTTTATTTGTTTACATATATTTTTCTACTCATGATATATATATTAAAAACACCTTCTTTTCCTTTTTTAATAAAAATAAATTCTTGAAATATTATGAACATAAAAAATAAGAAAAAAATTATAAATTAAAAAACAAAAGAATAAAAATAAAAAATACAGGATAAAAAATTAAAGATATTTTAAAAATAAAAAAGAGGAGGTGTACTTATAATTAAAAAGGTGGTGTATATATATCATCAACCATTTTTTTCTTACTTTCCAGATTTAAAAATTTTGTTTTAAGTTTTTTTAATTTTAAAAAAATTATTTTAATCTTTCAATATATTTTCGATGTCTTAAATTTAAATTTTATATTTTTA